ATACTATTTCTTCAAAAATGCATTATTCAATAGAACAAACAAAATTAGATCAAATTATGCGTTGCAATAATTTCCATTTCCAAGTCGGGCAGGTTGTCGAGAGTCTCGAGACTCACTACTTTTCGATCCTCAAAGCAAAGAAGGAGCTTGGCTGCAGAAACACGGTAAGCCCTCAGGAGGGCATATCCGCAAAAATCGTGTACTTCAAGGACATAAACGAAAACAATGGCTCTTCTGCTTGATCGGAATGAGAGTGCTGTGTTGTGCTATGTACTTGCCGAATATTGGGCCTGTTCTTGGAGAACTTGACTTTGGCCCAATGACTTTTAGCCCTTGATCTACACACTTGCACAAACATATACATCCGTGTGGATATGTGTGAAATCACTCCTGCCCTTTTAGGTCACGAAAAAAATTGGCATATAATACAAAAATAAATTGATCATCCTTCATACAGTTGTACAAATTGCACACACTCTACAATGCTCTTTCCAGTTCCAACTGAAAATAGCTGGTTTTCAGGACTCACAAATAGAGCTATAAACGAACTGAACGTTCGCGAACAAAAGCTCGTTCGAGTTCGACAAAAGCTCGTTCGTTTGTTAATCGAGCCAAGTTCAAACAGAAAAGTAGGATCGTTTAATAATAGAACGAACACGAACTCGTTCGTGAACGTTCGATTATGTTCGTGAACATTAATTTAATATTATTTTATTTTATTTTTTATATATTTACATAATATTTTTAATAAAAAATCTAAAATTTAATATAATTTTATTTATTTTTTTATATATTTACATAATATTTTAATAAAAAATCTAAAATATAAAAATATTTTTATTTTGTTATTTTATTTTCGAGTTCGAACAAACAAATTTCGAGTTAATCAAACATATTTAAAAAGTTTATGTATTAAATTATTCGAACACGAACGAACTCGATCTTTGACGAACAAACTCGAACACGATTTTTTACTCGAAAATTAAACGAACACGTGCTCGGACAACCTCAGCTCGGTTCAGTTCAGTTCGTTTACAGATCAATGACCCGAGCAATAAAAGAACTGAAAATAAATGAAAACAATGACACAAATCTGCAACCAATACACAATAAATATCTCTACTTAGGCTCGAGCCATTCAAAGAGTGAAAACAAACTAGCATCTCGTACAACGACTGTCAATTAACAGCAACTACTACATAAGTGAAACTAAAGAAGAGTTTTCTTCCAGTCGAATAAAAAGCTCTAACTCTACAAGAGAGCACTCACAGTCACAGACTAACAACTATAGTCGACTAGAAACAGCCACGCGGTCCTTATTCTGACAGTAAAGTTACAGAAAAAGCCCTCATACAATGTTATGTTTCCACATGACTGAGAAACTCTTGCAGGAAAATGAAAAAAAAAAAAAAAAAAAAAAAAAAAAAAAATCACTTCCAGGGCATTGCTGACATGGACTGAGGGTGATTGTTATTGCAAGCACCTGAGCTAAGGTTGAGTGGGCTTGCGGGCCCACCAGATGATCCACTGAAAGTCCCACGTGAAGGGGAGCTGCTGGCACCAGTTGGTCCGCTAAGGTTTACCTTTGGTGGAGCGGATATTGACTCCATGTAGTTTGCAGATTTTTGTTCTTTTCGATTGTCGGCCAAGAAGCTTCCGACTATTACCTGGAATTTGGATATAAGTAAGATGAATAAAGATTTTTCGTCTAATAAGAGGAATAAAGATATAGATAAATATATTTGAGAGATAAAAATAAAATCTAGCAGTTTGGACAAATATGCACCTAATCTACGATTTTTTGTGTTTTTGCAGTATTTGACATTTATTCAATAGGATATAATAAAAAGATGGGACATTTAATGCTGGGTTAGGTGATGGCTTAGATGAGATGAAGGAAATTTGAATTTTAAACAGATACTAGATTATGGGATATGGATCACAGCAGCCACGGTAAGGCATGCAAAATTCCAAATTGGGAAAAAGTAAAATGGGACGACATAAAAGATCAAGTTCAGAGGTTATGGGTGCTTGTTGTTTCATTTTCTGAGTCAAACAGTGGTAATTTTTCTTTCTAAACAATTAGAAGGAAGTAATGGGCATGTATTGGATGTGGTGTGATAAGGTAATATGATTTTGTGGGTGATTGTTCGTGAGATTTTTGGTATCGATAATAGTCTAGAACACAAGTAAATAAACAAATAGATAGCATGCTGCGGTATTAGGATGTCTGAGAGGAAATGAGATTATCTTTTAATTCATATCTTTCCATACTTCAGAACATCATTAACACAAGTTTTTTATTTAAAAGACAACATTTTGAAAGAAAAATAAAAATTAATGAATAAATAATTAATTAATCCCATGAACAATCGCAACCCAAGATGTCTTTCCCGAACCAATAATTCTTATTTTCTGCCCCCTCTTGGTTTGACTGAGACTGATCATAAGAAAATGACTTGACCTTTTCAGATCCATTCATTGCATTCAATCTTGCAATACGAATAAGACATCTTAAAATGTTATTACAATGCAGACAGCAAATTTACCTGCACAGGGGAGGCAGCTATGAGTAAACCAGCCACACAGCCACCAAAAACCCTTCCATCAGGTCCGGCTAGTGTTGTGCTTAATCCACCAGTTCTGCTTTTATGACCACCAACATCCGACAGCATAAACGACCCCGAAAGAGACAATATATCAAATCGCCCCTAAACCAAAACATGAATAATGAAATAAAATAAAACCGGATTATGGTAATATTGTAACCAATTTTATTTGTGCAGACATAGTCCAGTTCAGATGGAAAATTGAATTACAAGTCAGGTATAACCGTAATAGAAAAAAAGATATAACAAGAATACCTCATAAGTTGCAGTGCCACCGGAAGTAGCAGCTTGGCGAAGGGTGACGTTAGATATGGCACCATTTGCAGATAGAATACAAACAGCTCTTGGGCCATTTTGAGAAAATGCCATTATTTTCGAAGATACATCCTGAACCCAATTGAAACATAGTGAGGAAAAGGCAAAAAGATTTAAACCTTACACGGTAAAATGGGTGCACGACATACTAACAGCATTCTCAGAATCAGATTAGAGGTGTTTGTATACATTATTTAGTGTAATATGTGAGGCTTCAAAGTAAATCCTATGCAATAATAAATGTTAGAACGCTTACGAGCTAAATAAAGCTTAGAAAACACACCAAAAATGTTTGGGGTCCTTTTACACACACTTCTTAGAGGAGAATTTAGTACAGCAATCCGAAAAAGTAATTTCTTTTCCAACGACATAACATAAAGAAGTAAATGTTGACTTGTTAACCTCCCCTGGCTTCACGTCGATTACATGAGGTATGAATCCAATCCCAGTTGATCCTGCAAGTATAATCTTACGTAAATTTCATGTAACAGGATTGTTAGGATGATGATTAAAAAGCACAATGCTGAGCCGCCGAGGATTATTAAGGAGAATGCTACAGGAAAACAAATTAATGGATGATACATTTATCTAAACTAAAATCTCCAACTGAAAAGATAGGTAGCCAGTGAAGTAAAATGATGGAAGAACTACAAATTATGTCCATCGCTTTAGAGAATGAAATACAACAAATAATATAATAAATAATAATCTTGCCCAGCATTGTTGGAAATAGTAAAATAAAAGAACACTCATCATAAAAACAAATGGGAGACAACCCTGTGTTACTTTGGAAACAGAACCAAACAAGTCATATTATCATGTATGTTAAGAGTAAGCAAGAAAGTAGCTGCAGACACGGGGGTAAGCTGGTCAATTTCCCTTTATTAGATTCTTGAGGTTGGTCAGAAATTCAGCAGATCCACGAAATAGCAGAACCGAGAAAAATATATATATATATTTCTCATAACTCTATATTCTGCATTAAAGGTCAACACCTATTTATAGTTCATCCCCAGATTAATGCCAAATTGCCAACACAAACTAAAAGCATAAAACATAAATAGTTTAATGCATTTCAGACCATGAATCGATTACAAATAAGAAATCCCAAGACTTTGTCACACTCCCTCATGTCAGTCACACTATATATTTATTTAATAAAATTATTTATTAGAAAAAACCAATATCTGATCTCCATTCCCCACTAGAGATAAAATATTTTATTTCCACAAAAATATATATATATATATATATATATATATATTTTCTTATCTGTTATTGTGGCCAAAGTAAAAGAAAAAGAACTTCCACTCAAAATAACTATTAATAACAGAACACCCCAAGTGCTCATTTTTACCAATAACTTCAATCTGCTTCTTCTTGTTCACTGAACCCGGGGGTCTGCCCCTGGCCTTCTTGGCGGTGGGTGAGGCCGAGCCGCCCACCGGTGGCTGTGGAGGTGCCGCCGCCGGCGGAGGAGAGAAAGTCTGCATCTGGGCCTGCTGCATACCCACGTTCATCGGCTGCTGGCCGGAAGCCATAGCCATCGCCGCCATGTTCCCATCCGGCCCGTACTTCCTGGGCCGCCCTCTCTTGCGTTTCTGGTCGCCGGAGTTCAGATTCGTAGCCACGGGTGCGCCGCCGGGCATTGGTTGGTACGCAGGCGGGGAGGCCACGGATCTGTACGCGCCGTCGGCGGTGTAGGGCACGCGCATCTGCTGATCCAGATGCTGCTGTGAAGCGGCTGGGTTATGGCCCGGCCCGGTTGATACGCCGTGGTTGATTGCAAACGGCTCGCGGCTTGCCATGACGGCGGCTGCTTCAGATACACCCGACATTTTTGCCGGGTTCCCGAAATTATTCTTGGCGTTTGTACGAAATTACCTGTGGAAAATTTTAGCAGATCTCAGTAGCTTAAGAAGCTTCGATTCAAAATGCGGGGTTTTTTATTTTCAAAAAAGATAAAAGATTAAGGATTTATTTCGCCATAGCTGAACTGGAAAGATGCGGTTGATGAACTCTTTCATCGTGAACTGAAAAAACACTTTGCGAAAATTCAAAAGCTGAGTCTTGAAAATAAATTAAAAATAAAATAAAAATCAGTAAAAGCAAAATTGCAAAAGAGGAGATGAAAACAAGTAAAACGGACGAGGGATGTAAAATAAAATTGATTTTTTTGTTGTAAAATCTCGAAAATTCAGCAGGGCTCGCAGGATTTCTTAGGGATCGAGCAAAAAACAACAAAAGAAGCTTGAAATTAAACGCCGAAAGGGGAAAAACTATTTTTGAAAAAAAAATAATCCATTACTTAATTAAAAAGCCCCAAAATTTCACACAATAAAGCGATAAAATCAGGAAAATTAGAGAAAAATCAGAAATTACTCACCAATAAATAGTGAAAATTTTCTGCAGCAAAGTAGAATTAGGTGATGTAAGCGATGAGCGAGAGAATTTTTTAGGGATTCGACAAAGAAAAAAGGGTTTTTGCAGGAAAGGCTTTTAGTAAATATTAGAACAGTTAATTATTTACATTTACGAAAGGGGCCATTTTCGTTTTAACTCTGTACTTTTTTTTTCATCAAATTTAATGTGTGGAAATTAAGGTTAAATTCATCTTAGTTAGTTTATCTAATAATTTATTTTTGTCCCTTCTTATAATAAGACAGGTGAACGAAAAATGTCCACTATAATAAATTGCATCATTTTCCTTATTCGGAAGATTCATTTTACTAGGGTGATTTATTTAAAAGAAAAAAACGAAAAATAAT